AATGGTTCGGACGATGTGGCTTCTCACAGCTGTTTGCCACAAACGCTCCTCGTTCAGCAGCTGTTCTCAGACGACAGAATTACCACAAGGATCAAACATTCTTGAAAGTGCATAAAAGCCTCCTTCCTTCTCTTCCTCCTCCTCCTCCTTCTCCTCTCCGTTTCCTCCCCTCCTCCCTCTATTCCTCCTCGTCCCCCTCCTCCTCTTCTTCCCCCCCCCCTCTATTCCTCCTCGTCCCCTCTTTCTCCTCGTCCTTCATCATTTTCTTCTTCAGATTTCCTTCGTTTCTTCAGGTGGATCTTATAGAAATGGGTTTCTCCAGATGACAGTCATAGGCCATGTTGTGACCATGGTGATATTAATGATAGTGATCATAACAAGAATAATAATGAAAATGATAATAATAATTGCTATGTTAATGATGGTAATAATAATTGCAATAGTGATGAAGAGAGTAATAATAATAGTAGTATTGATTATGATAATATCAGTGACGATAATAATATAATAAAATAGGAATCCTAATAACAATGACAATTGTAATGACATTAATAATAATGATAATGATGTCAATGATAATGATAGTAGTGATAATCATAATCATAGTGATAATAGCAATAACAACAATGATGATAGTAATGATAATGATGTTAATAATAAATAAATTATAAGGATAACTATTATTATTAGCAGTAGTGGTCGTATCATCTTATCTATTATAATTCTCATCAGATGTATAGACAGACATCTTTTTACCCTAGTACAACAGTCTGCTATTCTGACGAGGAATTAAATTCTTGCAAAACTCAAAAAAACATTTCCGCTTTGCAAATCTTTCTGATTTTATTTGGTGTCATTGCCATTGTCATAATTGCCGTTACTATCATCGTTATTATCATTGTTACATTTTAAAGAATAATTATGATAATTTTGATTTCCATTGTCATTATCAGTATCATGATTATCATCATAATCACGACCAAGAACATTGTCAGCACCATCACCGTTGTGGTAAAACATCTTTATTCTCATCTTGTGAATACCGTTAACCATATTACTGTTCTCGGCATTAGCAATATCTCTGCTGCCATAATAAATTATTTTATTATTTCAGTATCATCCTTATGACTATAACCATCATTACCGAATTGTGTTCTTACTTTTTGATCATTAATATATCTACTCGATAAGATAAACATCATAATTTTATTGCTAAAATGTTTTTTGCTGAAATTATTTTGGTATTCTGTAACTGCTTTTACGTTACTATCATCAACGTCATTTGCCTTTGCAGTATCCAGTGTTCGTAACAGTGACGTCACAGCTTCCTTGATGAGTATAAAAGGGGCTTCCTCCTCCAGCCGAGCATCACAGCTCACTCAGCTCCTCTGCGTCCAACACCAACATGTCTGCGAAAGTGAGTAGCTTTGGGGGGAAAAGGATAGATATTTCAGGCCTTCGAACTTGTAAAACTCTTTCCTTCTCTCATTTCCATCCATCAGTCCTCTTCCCCATTTCCCTCTTTCTCTTCTTCAGTTCCCTTATTTCTTAATCTACGTGACGTTTTTCCAAAATTTATTAATTAAACTAATTTCTTCTTTGTGTTATTGATTCTATTTATATGAACAAAGATTTCTTGAAACTGCAGTAATTTTCCTCGGGATATTCCTATCTTCCTACAAAGTTCTAGTCGTTCTCATGTTTTTATTTTATCTTATTTTATTTTATTTATATATTTTAGACGTTCACCGTACTTGTTGATTTTATTTACTTCCTCCTGCAGTTGATCCTCCTGGTGGGCGCCCTCGCGGCTCTGGCCTCCGCCGTCCCCCGTCCCGACCATCCTCCCGTCTACCACGCTCCTCACCCGACCTACAAGCAGCCAGGAATGCCCTTCGACTTCAGCTACGCCGTCAGGGACCCCTACTCGGGCAACGACTACGCCCACGCCCAGACCAGCGACGGTCACGTCACCTCCGGATCCTACAGCGTGGCTCTTCCCGACGGCCGAACCGAGATCGTCGAATTCACCGCCGATCACGACAACGGCTACGTCGCCAACGTCGCCTACGAGGGAGAGGCCTCGTACCCCGCCCCGCCCCCTACCATCCCCCTCCATCCTACCACCCCCGCCCCCTCCTACCCTCCTCCTCCTCCCCACCCACATGCATAAGACCCTTCCATCCTCAAGGCACAGGCGGCTCTGCCAAAAGCTCCTTGCTCACCAAATATCCGACGCCAAAGGAAGACTTTTCAAGCCCAAGCATCATTAAATTCACGCCAAAGGCACAAGGCAGAACCAGGGTGCTTCCTGTGCTTCAGCCTCATCACCTCCACATGGAAATTCATTGCAACATTGCTGACTCGTCCTGTTCATGTTTTCACAAGAGTCGTCTTCTAGTCCCTGTAATTTACTCTTGCCAATAAAGGTTACTCGATAAAACTTTTTTTTAACACTCTAACCGCAGACATATTTGCTTCTCTTTGCTTTTCTGAGCGCCCTTTTTTCTTTCTTTTCTTTTTATTTATATTTCTTTTTTAACTGAAATTCTATCAATGGCCTCTCGCGTGGCTGGACGTCCGCTTCGAGCATGAACAGACATTTTCTGCCTTTCTTTCTTTTCCCTTTTTCTCACCAAGAACTATCGTCGCAATTTCTCATTCATTCATTTTGAGAATTACTCGTTTTCTCTCTCGGCGTCACTTGTAGATAGAGAGGATTTATTTTTTTCACTTGTTATTACCTCATCACAAAACAGCAGTTATCCTCGCCGGTGCTGCTTGCACTTGCTGAACGCACGAGAA